ATATAGGGCTTTGCGATCGAGGGCAGAGTTTCTGTCTTTGCAGTTATCGCAGGAATGTCCGGTTTCACAACTGCGAAATCTTTACTTTTATCGGATGGCTTCTTAGTAACATTAGTTTTCGGTTGTAAAGCGGTTAAAGCTTTTTCAACAATTTTAGCTGCTTGATCCACAACGTCGGAATTAATTATCTTCTCTAGTATCGAGCAGTCCGTGTCCAAATTGCGTGATCTATTGATCTGTGTAAACAAGTCTTCGAATGCTTTACGAAAATCTGTTTTTGTAAAGTCAATATAATATTTAACTCCAAGAAAAAATCCGAGCCAACCATTTGGATCGTACTTTGGTTCTAATTTCAGGAAAATTAATTGACGTTTACGTTTATATGCGTATTCAACTTCCGCTTGACACGCTTGACTCAGCTTGTATTTACTTGACATACAGATGAGAACTGTCTGTGAGTCTTCGATTGCCTCTGCCATACGTTCCATCAAGGATCCGTGCATTCTGTCCTTATCGATCCACACTTGGTATTTCTTTAATTTCAATAAGCATTCGTGGATCAAATAGCATAAATCCCGATTATCGTGAGAGTAACTGATCATAATATCATATTTGAATAAAGATCCTTTGACACTTTTCTCTTTCTCAGTTTTAGATTCTTGAAATCTATATTCATCCAGATTTGCCTGTTGTTCAGGTGTAAGCAAGTGACGTAATTTGTAGTACTGCAATTTACCGTTTTCTTTGATTGGTACATACATTGAATCGTAGTCGTCCTCAAGTTCATCTGCTGCCGAAGCTCCAATATCTCCATTTGCTTCAGTATTCGTTATCTTAGCTCTAAATTCCTCTTCCTTTAATAGACGCCATAATATACCGTCAGCAGCCCGTTCCAACTCTTTTACATCGGACTTTAAAAGTAGAGCTAGTTTTTGCATCAGTATATCATCTTTCCGCCAGATCTGAGCAGCCTTTCTATAGAAACTAACAGCCCAAATAATATCTAATGCTGGTTGATGAACTGTCGTAACATCAAACTGTGGTTCCCATGCAGCTTTTGTAAGCAATGGCAAACCTTTGTGTTCGACTAGTTCCGCTTTAACCGTTTGATTTTGTACAATAGCTGAAACAAAAGGCGACTTCTAGGCTCAGTTTCCAGTAGGCTTGTACCAATTACGGTTATAGATCGGATAACAGATGTTTTTTTAGCAAATTTTTGGGTTAACCGTTAATTATTCGGTGAACCGAAACTTCGGTGAACCGAAACTTCAGTTAACCTTAACCGGTACATGCCAAGTTTGAAGTAAATACATTTTTTATCGAGCTTACTTTTGAAGTTATTTGCAAGATTGCTCAGGTGAACACCTTCATGTTTCTGTGATGGATCTTTCGTGGCTTTATCAAAATAGGTAATATACGAAAGTGTCATATCCCGTGGATTATGTAGAAGATCGATATTATTCATAGTTAATGCAATCAGTGTTCGAGCTGCAAATAGAATCTTCCTGTCTGATACACTACTCAATAGTTTTAGAATATCAACAGGTGGCCGCTTGTTCTTGTCTTTCTTATTCGGAATATACGGTGGAACATTGAAAATCGTTTTTATAGCCAAAGCCAAATCCGGATTAAGTATTAAATTATAGAATAATGTTAAAGTAATAGAAACTAGAGGTATGTTTCGAACAGAATCTAAAACCCATATCCATTCCAGTTCCGTTTTTGTATCTCGAGTACCATCAGGGAGTACCCAGATGTCTCTTTCTGTTTGTCGCTCTACCACTTTGACATTAGCATCTGTTTTCAAAATTTGAAATAAGTTCTCTACAATTGAGATATGCTCAACAAAGACATCTCGTGTTTCTTTCAGTGTTGCACAAAAGTTCAATAGTTCCAAATAGTAAACTCGACCAGTATCAGCTTTACAACGAGCGGCTACGTCTGAGATCATAGGTTGTTTCGTGACGATCTTGTGTTGAATATTTAACAACGGACGGCATAGCAGTTTTGCAACTTCATTTTGACGTTCACTTGAATTTGACAGAATGTATGATGGACAGAGTTCTTGATAGAAAGTTACTGCACAGGATTCGGATTCATTAAAACTTTCTGCGTAATTTTTTGAGAGAATACACTGCAGTAACAGATCTAAAAAATAGGGTTCTAGCTGCTTTGAACGGTCTTTAGCATAGGCATGCCGCAGCATATGATTAGCAACAGAGTATCTGAACGGAATTACGCTTGAAGAAGCCAAAGTTTGAAATAGTTTTCTAACTGTTTCCAAACATTTTCGTGAATAAAATGATTCTTGAACGAGACGACAACAAGTTTTATCTGTATTTAACGGACATGA